TTTATATGGCAAATCTCACTCCATTCCCTAATCTAATATCCTTGGGAAGCTTTTAAGAGGAAAAGGCATAATACTCTTAAAATTATTTCCCTTTATCACAAATGCATAGATGGGAATATGAAATTTTGACAAGGAATTTGGCTTATGAGAACTTGTTGATACATGTAACACATAGTCTGCTCCTATCATCATCATGCTGTCTATTTAATAATTCACAGTTAAATACAAGACCTCAGTTGTCACAGCTCAGTAGGAATAAAATTAAGGAGATTTACATTTTTCCTGCTGAGAAATATGGAATTCTGTCTAATGTTTTATCCTGTGTCTTTTAAACTTGTCAGAAACAGTGGTGCCATCATAACCCTCTATCAGTCAGGAACTAAAATATGTATTTGAGGGCTGTGTCTTCCATTATGCATCAACTTACCAAATTCCTGACAGAAACCATTGTTACAAAATATGTCTAAAACAGAATTTCAAACATAGAATAGCAATTCACAGTTTTACCTGATATATTTAAAATCTATTGTACAATTTTCTTCATTGCATTTGTTTCTCTTAACATTTGTACCAGTGAACCATTTGTACTTTTACCCTGCCGTTTTCTTTATATATCAGTTAATAGTACAAAAAACTCAAGAACAGTTGAAAACTTAAGATGAGGTACTAAAACTGGTTTCTTATAATCCTATTTTATGTTAATGTCCCTCAGTCAATAAGGAAATGCTAATGAATTTCAGTAGAGAGACTCAAAAATACTCCTGAAAAGTAATGCTTTTGGTGCAATTAATGTGGTGCTAACAAAACCACTTAACAAAGATAGCTTTAACAAAGAGAAATGGAAATTGTACTGGTTTGTTGAAGATAGATTGCATCCAGTCACTTTTTTAAAGATGGAAAAATAACTCTATAGTTTGTCTAGATTTTAGGAACACCTGTCCAAATCTTTACATACAATTTTTACTCAGTACAAAGTCCATTTTACTATGTTTGTTAGAGCAAACATCCTTGCTATGAACATGACCTCTCAATGGTGTTATTTTCCAAACCACTGTCACTGATGTACACAGGAGCCAATTTAAGTGGCACTTAGTGGCCAAAGAATTAAACTTGTAACTGTGGGAAACAGTAAAGGGAAGTGGAGCCTCCATAACTGAAAACTTTAAAAACCAAACTGGGTAAGGTCATGAGCAATCTCATCTGTTGATCCCACTTTCAGTAGGGGACATGGAATAGATGAGCTCCAGAGATCCTTTCCAAGCTCAGTGATTCAGGGATACTGTGAAATACTAATCAGAATTACTCAACAGGTCAGGAATATGTTCATTTCATGCAGTTTTAGGCTACCTGCAAACAGAAAGTGTATAAGGTGTAAGTCCCCCCAGCTGAGTCTGAGCTGTATCAGAGGTGAATGCCATGGTGAGCACTGGGCTCTGGTCTCACACCATGACTTTGGTCTCTCCTGAGACCTGGGGTTACCTGGGACACACCCAAGCCTGCACTGCCTCTGTCACCTCCTTGTCTACATCACCCATTGGGATCCACCGTGCTGAGCATCATAATGTCAGCTAAACAAAACCCACTGGGTTCTCCTAAAGATCAGTAAGATTGGTATCAGATTGCACTGCAGCTTTGTGTCCATTCCCATTTGCTCCATGACATGCCTAAAAATTTCAATTATGAAAAAGCTACTAATTTAAGGACAAAACTACCATTATAGTAAGCTTATAGTAAGCTTCCTGGAATAGTGCATTACAGCAAAATACACAGTCCTGTTAAACTGGGTGAATGGCTGCTTTGCATGGCCCAACTTCCCCCTTTTTTCCCTTCATTCAAGTTTTTTCTATTTCTCATGTCCCTTCTGCATTCCCCTGCTTCTGTGGGTTGCTCCATTTCTTAGAGGCACTAAATTTTAACTCAAAATCTGATGAACAAATGTAGCTTCCTGAGAAATAATTGTGTTTTCAAAATAGTATAGCTTTGGGGTAGAGATGTTATTTAGCAGTCTAAATTCTTCTTGAAGAGGAAAACTCTATAATCTCAAATTTCAGAAGATGTCCTTTCACAGTACAGAATTCTACCCAATCAACTAAGTTTAAATTCAGGTCACTACTTGACTTTAGAACACCTAAAACCCAACTGTCCTAGAGGAGACTGCCATTCCAGAAGTGGGTAATTCAGGCTGGAAACGGGCTCTCTGTAGGGTGTGGCTCAGGATGAGAATGAGGGTAGCCAAATTTAGGGTCCAGGCTATATATTATCACAATCCAGCTCTTGGGAAATCTGGGCACAACTCCATGGACTCAAGCTTTAATTAGGTCTGTTTTCTGCTTTTCTAAAAGCACCAAGGAAATCATACACCTTGGGAATTCTGGGGCAACTGTCAGCTAGCACTGCCCAGTAAAAGAGCTCTGTTGAGCAAAACAGCCACAGAGGTGTGTGCCTTTTGGTCTTCTGTGCACAAAGGAAGAGCCTGTGTATTTTGGGGCAGAGAGGGCCAAGGGAAGACAGAGGATGTAAAATTCTTGCCTCTACAAGAAAATAAATCAGAAGAAAATCTAAAGGTTGACTGCAGTATTTAGTAAAGGAGTAAGACAAAAGCTGTAAGAAAGAAAATAATTTGTTTTTTGAAAGGGAAAAGCAGATCCATTCTTTGAACTAGCTAACCCCATTAATAACAGAAGTGAGCAGATATATCAGCATCATCTAGTCACACAAGCTCCAGGGCAAGCTGGATCCCATTTACTGAAACACCTGACAGTATTTTTATTGGTATTTAACAAAACTGGCTAGATTACATTTAGGGCAAATATATCCAAATATATCCATTTAGCTAATACCTTCAGCTGCAGTGGAAACATACCCTTTTGAGAGTCCATCTGCTCTAAAAAGTCTACAATATAAACTGTGTTAAGGAAAGGATGCATTACTGAGCCTGTTTTACATAAAGACTAAAATATTTCTAGCTGTTTCCTAATAATTTTTGATGTCAGCAACACAGGAAGACATGACTGCCTAGGAATTAAACCTCCAACTCCCAAATTCCAATACAATGTGTTAATCACAACATTAGTCTTCATCTGAATGTTAATTTGACATGCATTTAAACCAGACAGCTAATCTCTGAGGTGAGATATTTTATTTTAAAAAAATGGCCTACAAAAATAGCCTATGAACATTTAGCCTACATTTTGGCTCATACTGCTATTGATACCAGCTCCTGAAAATAGTCCAGATATTGGCAGATAGTTTTAGAACAGGATTGGTAAAAAATTAAGAGTTAAGTCTCAAATTTTCAGCATATGGAGGCAAGTAGAACATTTTGCAAGATGCAATATTTGAAGATAAAAAGCTGGATTCTTCAGAACTTCATGCCTTATATAGTGTATTTATAGATACAAAATTTTATACGCTTGCAACTGAAACAGAACTTTTTTTTTTAATTGCATTTTGAATTTGGTTTTAAGCAAGAGCAAATGATCACTTAAGATGGCTAAGGTTCAGACCCATCAACTCATCTTTTTCATATTAACAAACATCTCATGAACATGAATATTGCTGTTTACACAGCCTAATCCCACACAATACCATCATTACTTCCTGAAACAAGTTATTTTTATGTCTCTATGATGTATTTAAATGTACTTTTACCTCAGCTGTGATGAAGAGATTGTTTGTTAATACACATCTAGAGCTGATATAGTGTTTTACAGCTATAAATGACTTACTAAAAAGGAAATAAAAATGCACAGTTATGCTCATTTACAAAGCAGCAGTTAATATTAATAATCACTGAAACAGAAATTCTGTCTCGTTTTATGTTTGTAATTAACTGAAAGAATTTTTGGTTGGAAATAGAAGAATAGTGTTACAAATTCACTCTACAGTGAGGTTTAAATATAATATCTCCAGCATTGCAGTGTTTGTAGTGTGGTTAGAAATGTGCTTGTAAATGATTCCCATTCCACACACACACAAGTACCACAATCTCCCAATAACCAGGGGTGAAGACATCAAATAAAGGATACCACCAGTGCCCTCAGTGCATTGATAACTGGGAGAACAAAATGTCACTCCTTCTAACTCCTGTGATTCTTATGTGAGAAAATTCCAGTGCATTGTCTAACACAAGTGTGCTGGAAGCCTGTGGACTATTCAGAATCAAAGTGGTCCTCTGGTCTACTGCTCTGCTGCACTTCTCAGTCCTAAAGCCACAAAGATGCCATTATAGTCCCAGAGGTGTTTTGTTATGTTTGTTTAGGTTGTGATCACTGCACAAGCAGAAATTGCTCATTTGAGACTGCCAAATTTGTGTTCTTTTTCTAGTCCCTTCCTCAGACTTCCCAAACCCAGGATGGTTAGACACTGTATCTTCTATTCTGTCTAAAGTACTTCCAATACTTCATAAGCTCTCAAGCAAACTCTCTACTTCACCATGGAGTCAGGGACTCACTTCACTAGCATGTGAGCAGAGGTCAAGAAAGAATAAAGAATAAAGTTTTCACACAATATTCAAACATTGTTATGTAAAGAAAACTACTCACATGAGGAACACTAGACTGCTTACATCCCTACGGACTCTGTGTCAACAAAAATAACAGTACTCTTTTTTCTCTCTATTCCCAAAACAGCGCTCAGAGTAAACCTGCAAAACTCAGTAGATTCCAGCAAAAAATTCAGTTCCACCAGACTAATGCCAAATATGATATTTCAGATCTCATTTCTCTAAAAAAGGAATGCATTGTGTTAGACAGGAGTAGGCACAAACATAAGATATTCAGTCAAAACATCCAAAAGGCTCCTGCACAGGAAAATTGATACTCTAGCAGAGAAAGATGAGGATTATGTAATGCACACAACTGTATAAGTAGCCTGTTTTCTGCAGTGAGAGGAATGAAACAGAGTACCTGCTGACCTAAATACGAACTTTTGTCCAAGACAAACATAAATTCTTATTTTTCAACTCTTGAGCAACTTCAATGGGATACACAAATACGTACCTTGAATATCTTTTATGTGCAGATTTCCTTCTCAGTCCGAGTTAGAAATATTCATCTCCCACACCATGTGACCTATGAAATGTGTTCAAAAGCACTAAGGTTATCTATAAAATACTGTGTTCCTCCTTCCTGAAAAATGTTTTGTTATTCAGATGGTCTCTATGGCTTCTTATAGCTTAAGTCTCAAATGCTTCTTAAGTCCTCCTGCTAAATAACTGCATGGGCCTGGCTAGGACAGAATTAACTTTCTTCCCAGCAGCTCATATGGTCTTTTAGTTACCTGCCCAAAACAGAGCTGACAGCACAGTAAGGTTCAGCCTATTGCTGGGCAGTGCTTGGTCAGCACACAGCCCTTGTCTCTTTCTCACTCCTGCCACAGTGAAGGTGCAGGAGAGGATACAACCAGATGATCTGAACAGAGCAGGGAGATATTTCATGCCATGTAACACCACACTCAGTCATGATAAGGAAAAACAGGGGCCTTAGGGATGTTAGCTGTCATTTCCTTGGAGCTGAATGTTCATCAGTCCTCTTGAAGGATGTGGACAGTAACTTTTTGCCCCACTTGCTTTCTTTCCTTCCTCTCATCTTTCATCTATCCTTTACTTTATAAACTTTAAAACTTTTTTTTTACCTCAACCCCCAAATTTGCTTATTTTTTCTCTTCCCTCATCTCATAGGGGCTTGAGGTGAGTGAGTGAGCAATTTGTGGTGCTTAGCTGCCCACTTAATCCACAAAAACAACATAATAAACAAAAGGAATGATTTCCCACCTTTCTGTTGTGCTGCCTGGTGATGTATGAGTAGGTACTGGGTGTTTATGCACACTTGTGACTAAGCCTGTATTTGTGTTACAAGCAGATACAGGCTGTCCCATTTCTCCATGGCCAGATGCAGATGGGCATGGCATGACATGAGCAACATCTCTGAGGGATGCAAACAATGCAGGAGTGGGCTGGGTGCCAGATGAAGTCCTTACCTAGGCAGCATCCAGCTCAGTTTCTAGTTTGCCTATAGGTCAATTAGCATAATGAGAATAATTTTGTGTAATGCTATACATTGATTATGAGTTGTCAACATAAATGCTGCCAATGGACTTGCCCCAAACTAAACACAAAAATTCTACCAAAACATAGCTATGAACTGCACATGCTTCTCACCCAGGGGAGAGGATGTGTGAAAAGATTGTGACAGATGTTAGGGACATTGTTTACATTGCAGGAAGATGTTTCATTTCTATGGTAATAAATACTTTACAAGAAGCCATACAGATTTATGGCATAATCTCAGATATTTATATCAAGTTATTAAATATTTTTAAGACTGGGAATATACTAGATACAAATGATAGTATTTTTGGGTGTCATCCCACTAAATACTTGTTGCTTTTACTGCAATTCATAGAAAGGTACCATTTGTATTACTGAATATTCTTAATGTCCTCTCACTGAGCACTAAAATGCTGTATTACATCAAAAATAAAAAACACTTTGCATTAAATTTTCATTCATAAATTTTATGGGTAAAATAGAAATCCAATGTAGAATCTAAGTTAGAAGTCATTGCAAGCAATTTTCCCTACTGACTTTAGGGGATTTGAACCTGTGGCTTTTGACTCTTAAAATAAACACTGCATTACTGTCACATATGAAAAATATTATGAATAGTGAAGAACTAGTTTAATCTACTTCTTGGAGCACACTGAGAATCTCCTAAAGGGGCTTAAAGATTACTGCACATCTGAAGTAAAGCTCTATCTTGCATACCACTGAAATATTGTAAAAAGATGGCTTAAAGAATGTGGTTATTAACAGGGATATTTATTGATCATAACAAAATATTTCTTTTGTGTCAGTGGTCTGAAAAAAATTGCCACAATGAAGAGAAGGAGCCTTAAAGATAGGAATCCTGACTTCTTATGGCTCCTAAGAATATGCTAGTTTTATTTACACAACATACACCCCTGTGTTACTTTAGGGAAGCTGGGCATACAATTCCACACAATATTTATTTCCTCTAACATTTTAAAAATAAATATGAGCCATTCAATCGAGTCTGATTTTCTTCTTTCTGAAAGAATTCTGGAATGCTGATCTTGGACCATTCTGCACCTTAGCTGGTTTGTTTTTATTAATGGTTAAAACAACACATCTTTTCGAGGTTTATTTTTAAATAACATAAAAATATAAATGGAGAAGGATTTAATACCGAACAAACAAGGAACAGTATTTTTACAGAAAACTTCATGGCTAAGCAGATGTCTAACCTACTTTGAGACCAACATGTTATGCAAATACAGTACACAGCTCTCTCTTGTATCCCAGGGCTATCTTTTGCAGACCAGCTGTTGCTTTACTTTGCACATACTTTTTGAATACTACTCATCGAAAAAGAACATAAAAGACCATTTAGAACTTAGGTAGTCAGGTATTTTACAAGGGACCCTATCATGCCTTTATAAAGTGCTGACAAACCACACTAGATGTGTTGTACTTTGAAAATGTCTCACCTGATTAATGTCATCCTGCTGTCTTTTTGTTATAGATGTCTCTGTTCTGCTTTTTCTGAAATAGCAATCTGAATTCTGGAGAATTTCAGGTAATTGTGCGAAGAACTCTCTGCCAGGACTGTGTGCAATTAAACTTCCAAAAGTTACAGCAAAGACTGCAGAACCTTTACTGTAATACTTATCAAGTAAAAAAAGGCCAATCATCCAATCTGAGTTGCACTAAAAATATTTTCTCCTGTAGTTCAACAGATTATTTTGATTAAAGCATCCTTCTTAATTTTCTATTGTAAAGAGTGATCTACAAAAATCGTCACTATTTTCAAATGTTAAAAAAATTTAAATAACTTAATAGTAGTCTGAATTATTCTGGTTTTTATTATCTCATTTGCTAATATACAGTAATTTGATTTTCTTTTAATCAGCTAGAATGAATAACCTGCTTTTGAACAGGACTTACTTTATCTCAAATGTTTCTATTTAGTTCATGAAAGATAATATCAAGAGATGGCTTGATTACTGTCTGGAAGTGCCACCTTAGCTTTACTTTTACTAAGCTGTGCCCCCAGTCATCCATGATAAAGCATGTATGCCAAGAACTCTATCTTTCTTTTAGGTTTTCTCTATAGAACTTTCAAGATTTCTGCATCCTTCTTGATGTGCAATTGCCAGAATCAAGTTCAGAATGAGTGATGATCACAGCATTAAAAACCACTGAATCAATTTAATTCAACAACTGTTTGATATTCCCCTTGCCCATTCATCTAAGACTACCTTCATTCTTTTGTGTCCCCTTGACACTGGCAGCTGATTATACCATGACCCTTCAAAACTCCTTTAGAAGTCTGGGCTGTGTGAGGGATGAATGAGGCACTCTGTAAACAGAACCTACAAATAGTTTCTACATAGTGATTTCTCTTTGCTATTTTTCCTATTCTTCTATTTTATTATCTTAGATCTTAGCTCTGGAATATGCATATGGAAGTGTATAAGACTTCTATTTGAACTCGTCTGATGTCAGGGAGCTTAATTACATTTATATGGAATATATCAATTTTAGAATTACTCCCTTGTGATATTTTCTGCTGTTTCCCTCATGAACAGCTGAACACTGCAGACTTATTTCTGCAGTTTTAAGTGTGGAAGGACATGAAAGCTTAGCCTTCCCCATTTTCATTGTTTTGCTTCCACCTTCTTTATGATGCTTTTTTGATTCATAATTAAGCTGACTCTAACATTTGAATCAAATGTCTGTTGTAGAGAAATCATGATTACATTATTGTAAGGAAAGTCCCACATTATGTTTCCATTTCAATTCTACCGAAGCATTGCTCATTACTCAAGGGTCTGTGTCATCTTGTTAAACTAATTTTTTCATGAGTTTCTCCTCTCCCTGCTCCCTGTTCTTTTTTCTGGCTGCATTGAACACAAAACTAACAAACTTCTGGTAGCAGCACTCTACACCAGGTGAAGTTGGCACTTAGAAACAGTGAGATCCTGCCTTGAATTGCAGTGCAGTGGGTACTGAACAGGTGTTTTTATGCAAGGACACCTTGGACATAGGCCTGGAAAGCGTACACAGAGACCTTGCAGTCTTCTGTCTTGCAATTTCAAAGACAAACGTTTTGAAATTGTACCAGAAAGTTCATCTACATAAGATTAAAAATAATCAAGCCATTTCTCTGGGATTAGGTGACTGATTCCACTCACTAAACCTTTAGTCTGATGAGTCTTTATGTAGCACAATTCTGGAAATAATTAAAGGTAAAAAAATTATGTAATTTTAGTGGAAGTGAAAAAAGAGCAATTAAGGTTTTCTAAATTTAAATAAAATTTATTGGGTTTTAACCACCTGATTTTAAATGAAAGACCCTTTTTCTTGCTTTGTGCAAATTCACAGATTTAAATTTAGAACTTCTGCAATAAGTAAAAGGGATTAAAATTGTGGGCCCTTAAATTAGCAGGAATGCTTGCTAGTGCCTTCAGTGAAAACAGAGGCAGAAATAGACCAAGGTATTTTCTAGGTGAATAATGATACAGCTTTAAATGTGTGCAATATTTCAACATTTTCAGTGTTAAAAAAATGAATTGTCTTTTGATTTTATATTGTAGAGACTGGAGAATGCATCTCAAGTAGTATTTAGAAATGATTTTCCTTCCTACATCTTAAGGAAGAAAATAAAATCATACTCAAAACATTTTCAATAGTGGCAAAAAATCTAGCACTAGAAAGTTGATCTGACTTTTTGGCTAGTTTCCATATAAAAAAAGTTTTCTTACATAGAAGATACTTCATTTGGTTAAAGGATGAAACATATCTTAGTGGATACCATGTACAACAGAGCAGGAGCTATGCTAGTGAGAACCCATTGAAACATAGTTTTTCTAGTAAAAAGTGATCTTTGCTAGCTCAATGAACTATTTTACATGCTATAATCTATGCTAAGCAGGGTTTGTCTTGCAGGGCAGATAGTGACCTGAATTCCAAGAAGAATATTTAGAATTTCATACCAGAACTTGAACTCTAGATTCTTCTCAACAATCCTTCTGTGATTTCTTTTCAGCATACACAGGTTTCTTCTTATTCCAAAATTTATCTTCTACTTGGATTTTGATCAGTTCCTTGTGTTTGTGAAACAAGAAGGAACATGCAAAGAAAAGAAAAAAAGACAATGAAAAAACACAGCTCTGAATAGGAAGCCTTGCTAACTCAGAAGTGTTGCAGAGAAAAGCACAAGCATGAGACCCAAGAAACAAATGATGTAAGCATATGCTTACATAGACAGCAACTCCAGCCCCACTCCCCTTTCCCCCCCTCCAATGAAAATATTCAGCATCTACTTGCTTACAGGAATACAACTCCAAAGAAGACTCTTAATAAGTCCAGTAATGTCAGGTGCAGGTAATTGCAATGCAGTTCACTCCTGCAGGGACATCCTAACTATGAAGGTACTGCAAAGATCTGATCTACTGCCTCTCCTCTAGAGAAGGAATACAGCCTAAACATCTCCTCCTGCACATATATTCTGAGCAAATAAAAGCACAAGTTGTAAAAGAGATTATTTTCAAAGGCTTTTTCCTGTGTTAGTATCACTCAAAAAAGTTCTGAAGTTCCTGGTCATATTACAGTGATTAATTTTGGTACATAGGACAAGAGCAGCACAGTCAGCAGTTGGATTTCCATGCCCTGTTTAACTTAAATGGAATCACTGCTTTCCTTGTATTTGGTGTAGGTCCAGAGACTGAAGCCTGCAGAGCTGGTGACTTCCAAGGGAATATTGCTCACAGTACCATGATAAAATGAACAACAATGGAACATCAGGTTTTCTAGTCACTATTTAAAACCTGTGCACACTTAGAAAAAAAGGTGGTCAGAAAGAAGTGATTATAGTTCAGCAGTTCAATTATCTTGTGAGATGCAATGTAACACTTTATGCAACACCACTGTCCAGTATCTGAATGAATGATCACAATCATTAATGCCAATGTTCTACCACTCTTACAGCAACACCACGCTGAGCTGTCAGATCTACTCTAACCTACAAAGAGCTCCTGCAAAACAAACTTCTGAGGCTTCACTCAATACAGGATGCTCAGCAATGTTTATGCTTTTCTTACTGGTAGCAAAGTACAGGAATCAACACTTAAGCGTCAATTGCAACTTTCAAGGAATGTGAGGGTTTATTGAAGTGAACAATATAAATTTCACCTACTCCAATAAGCAATAACATCACATTCACTGATGCATAAGAGAAGGCTCTGCATTGTCCAGGTTCAAGTATTGTGGGCTTCTTTCTATTGTCCTAAACTTACACTAGTTCTTCCCTAAACTCTGCCTTTCTTCATGCAAATTCCACATTCAGAACTCTTCCACAGGATCACTACCAAAACTTCCTAAAAAACACTTTCTTTAATGAAGTATTTTTAATTAATCTTGTTTGTTTTAAAGACAAGAAAAGTTGCAAGATGGTTCTACTAGCAGCAAGATATGTCTGTGTTGGAAGCTGACTAGAAACCATATTCTAGTCAGGATTCTGTTCAGGGTAAAACCTAATGGTGTTACCATGGCACTGAGCCACAGCTAATATACTCTGTTTTTATATTACACTAATCATAAGCAGATATCTTCTCAGTTTCTTCAAGCTCGGGCAGCAGGAGCTTACATATGTTTAAAAATTACACAGATGCACCTCAATGCATAATTCCTTTAAGAACTAAAAGAGCACCTTTGTACTTCCAAGCAGCACACCCAAGCATGTTATGGAAAAATATACCTGAATGACTAATGTCTCTCCCTGAACTCAATTTGTCCATTATATTCCTTTGTTTAAATACTCAACCTTTAGACAAAACCAATCTCTTATATATATCCATGAGGCCAAACTCAACAGAATTCCATACCTAAATGGGCCCTGCTGAGATCATTATAACTTCAGTAAAAATTACAGACTTCAAAAGAATTGCAAAGAAAAAAAATCTGCGCCTTTGCACATATGTGAACTACAGCATTGGTTTTAATATTATATTTACTACCAAAAAAAATGGTATAAAAGACAGTTACACCCTTTTTTAGTATTGTACTCCCAGGTGTTTGATATCACACACAGTTATACTCACTCACTCCTCCAGTATTTCAGTAGTGCTCCCCAAATAGTAATAAAAGAATATTCTCCACAACCTATTCAACAAGACAACTCTGTGAGCCATAATTTACAGATACAGAAAAGGGAGACAGAGAAGTCTAAGTCCAAACTGTCTCATGTACTCTTTATTTCCATACACCTGATGTTCAAAGGTTCAGCTTATCAGGACACTCAGGACTGAGTAAATAGCTTTGTTTCACACAATTTTGATTGTACTGGTGATGTCAAAACAAGGGCAAATTTGGCTGCATGTGTCTCACATCTGTTAAAAATGAAAGGCCATCTGTGAACCCCTGACCTATATTACCTACCCGGCAAAAAATAGTAATTTAGTATCCAAGAGAGGCAGATACTCCAAGGCAGTATTCACTTCCCTGAGCTGACTATCCTTTGTCTTCCTGCAACATTCCTCTTGTGCCCATTCTACACTCGCCTGCAGGTGATAAGGGGGTGCTGAGGAGAAAGCCTTTTAAGAACAAAGTGAGGAGCACTACAATGGATAAATTACAGTCACACCAACAACCTAAAATAAGAAATGTCCTAACATTTTGGCCCTTTAGCTATATTAGAACAGTTTAATTTTTATACTTAATCATTCCCAAAATACAGGAATTCTCTGCTGAGTTACTATGGCTCCATGCAGTCTAAGCTGTCAGCAGTTTGACTTCTGCACCTGTCAAACAGACTTCACCTTTGTGAATAAACAGAATCAATACCAAGCCAGAAAGCACTGAAGTGAAGAGAGGTTCTTTGCTTGTTCTCTCTGCTGTTCAAGGAAGAACAAAGAAAGGGAAAGTTCTACTCAATGACTTGGCTACAGATACTGTCTTTGGAAAATGTCATGGGCAAACTCCCACCAGCCTCACCTAAGAACATTTTTAAACATAGATTATTTTTTTCAAAGGCTTATACTTAGATCAAACACTTCTATTTTCACAAGAACAGGAAAAAATACATTTATAATACAAGGGCAATAATTAAATCAAATTTGAGGTCCTGGCTTAATGAAAAGGTTACCAAAACCATTTTTACACTCGGCAAAATGACCACTACTCCCTAATCTTGTTCTTGGAATTATTTAATAACTGACAATTTTATAAGCAATTCAAGGCAAGGTCTATGGTGACTTAACTAAAGTAAGTACAAGGAGTACTTGTGGTTACTCTGTCTGCAGGCATATTCAGTACTGGCATAAAGTCAAGTGGATAAACTGAAGCTAGAGTTACAACAGTTTCCATCAGCTAAAGCTAATGTTTCAAATTATTTGTATTTTTATGGATTCTTCCTTTGATTCATGAGAGTCAAGACACTTCCATTGAAAACATCCAGTAGAAATTACATGGTAAGTAGCTATCATCCCTTGTAAAAAATTTCAGTCAGCATATTACCTGTCAGTGTTCTCTCATATTACCCACCCACTCCAAAAGATGGAAGCTATAAATCCAAAAGTCCAATGTTTGGCAGATGTTTGCAAATGTTCTTTATTTATCAGACATGCTTGAGAAATCTAGGTGTAAAACAGCTGGATGGGAGGAGTTGGGAGGGTTCTCTTCTGCCAAGAAAGAAGTCAGATGCAGAGTTTGTATCTCATAGTCCAGAACCACAAAACACCAAACTTGCTCCAGCAGCTCTTGTCCATGTGACACAAACACACTGCCAGTGAAGAGCCTAGCAAGCATCCAAGAAAGGAAGACAAGAGATTACCCTCAGTAAATATTAGAGAACTGTTTTCTTCATGTATGCTGTTCTATTTAGGCTATTCTCTCAATGTTACACACATATTAGCAAAGACTTCCAGTGCCAGAATGAAACCCCCACTTCTTAGTCCTGATCACCAAGTCAAATGTGGAAATGAGGGTTCACAGATCTTCTGGATATCAAAAATAATAGACTTAACTGGAGATACTGTCTTTAGTGTGTTGTGACACTCCAGCTAAGGCCTTCAGTGTTCTGGTGGGAATGATCCATTTTCTTTCTGCCCAGGACAGAGCACTACCTCAGAATTTCTAACCATACTAATGTCCCCTTTTTTATGTAGGTGATAACCACACTTTTCATGCAATGAGGTATTTCATTGCCATAACTGAAACAAACTTAGGGCAACTGTTCCAAATTTGGCCTAAACTTATGGTTAGATGAACAGCAGAGCTGATCTAACCAACCAAAAAGAAGGGGAGCACCATTTTGGAGCTTGTTGATCGATCTGTAAGTCCATTTAATAGTCTAGAGCAGCAGAAAACTTCTCTCTAGTTTCTTGGTGGTTTAGTTAAACCTAATCTGTTTGGGGGTTTAATGACTGCCAGGGCTCAGAGAGCATAAGCCATAGCAGCAGCACTTCCCTTGTTCTAAGCAGTGGCTGTAGATGTCTTCTGGAACTGCAGCCCTGGTTTATTGTTTGCTGCTATTGCTCAAAACCTGAAGAAGAGTTTGCATGCCCAACAGTTTGTGTGGTTTTCCCTATTGTACCAGTGGATGTACCTAAAGCTGCTACACCTGGAGAAGCCAGATGTTAAAGTAAAGCTCCTTTGTTACAAGTCTCACTGGTTTCACCCAGCTTCACAATAAATAAACTGAAAGAGCTTCTCTGAAATTAATGGTAATTTTGAATTGGAGATTAATCCCACGTAAACTTACATTTTAAATTTTCAGCAATAAATACATAAGAGTTACACATCAAGAGAAGATTTTAAACACTAGCCTGTGTAAAGCACCAACTGTCACTGAATACATAATTTCAAGTAAATCTATTTCCTATCTCTGATCACTATCCACACAAAAAAACCCCATTTGTACTTTTAGTAAATATGTATTTGGGATGAAAGCATTAAAATTTACTTTATCTATGATATATCAAAAGAGTTAAGATGGAAAGCTGAAAAATATTGGTTTGATTAAGCAGCTCTTCAAAATCACTTTGTATGCAGGGAAATTCTACAGCCAGAATCAACCAAGAATACTTACTCAAAATATCA